AGTTACCTTTGGACTCTGTCAATATCAGATGATATTCTCTTAGCAGGCAGAAAAGATTTGGACGGGGTGGGCTAGTGAACTACAGGTATTCACTTTATACCAAATAAGGAAACTGAGATTAGGGCATCGCCACCCCCCGCATCAGCAATTTATCCAGGCAAAGCATACAATATCATAAACATATGAGACCCTCACGATATCCTAAGCACCTAAGATCTAATACCTACTCATTCCTCCTTACCAAGCCTCCCCATCTCCCCCTCTCAAACCCCCCAAAGTCCCCCACAATGGCAGCACCATCCAAACGCCCCGAAATCATCGCCCTCTCGCAGGAGCTACGAGGCATCCCGCAATGCGAAGAATACGAGCGCATGATCTCCGGCATGATGTACATACCCTCCTCCCCCAGCCCCCTCACATCGACCCAACCATCTCAGCCATAATGAACCCGAACCTAACCCAAAAGAAAGGTACAACCCCAACACCCCCAAGCTCCTGGATGCGCGCCACCGCTGCCGCGGGCTGGCCCGCGCCTACAACGACCTCGACACGACGACCATCCCATCTTCCCAGATCTTCGAGACCCGACTCGCGCTCCTCCGCCAGCTGGTCGGGAAAGTCGGCGAGGGCACGTTCCTCGAGCCGCCCTTCAAGCCGGATTACGGATGCAATGTTATCATTGGGAGTCATTGCTTTATTAACTGGGAGTGAGATACCCCCTTTCCTTTCTTTTCTTCCCGCAATAGCGGAAGGTGGGTAGGAAATGCTAGGGGTATGTTGCTGACCGTGTAATGCGAGCCGCAGTGTGACGGTTCTAGATACCAGTCTAGTGGTGATCGGGGACAGGGTGCAGATTGGCACCGGTGTGAGTATTTTCACGGCGGGCCATGATACCAGTGTGCTGTCGCGGCAGAAGTTCGTGGAGTTCGGGCACCCGGTCTTCATTGAGGATGATTGCTGGATTGGAGGAAATGTGATCATCCTGCCGGGGGTGCGGATTGGGAAGGGGTCGACTGTCGGGGCTGGTTCGATTGTCACCAAGGATATCCCGCCCTTCTCGGTGGCCGTGGGCTCGCCCTGCCGCGTCAGAAAGACGATTCAGTCGCCGGAAGAGGAGGAGCAAGACCCGAACAATCCGTATCGTCATCTGGTTCGTGAGGATCGGTAGAGGTTACATGGATGCATTTCTCTGAAGAATTCATTATGCATGTCATTCATGACAAGGCTAACACTCAATGCTATCTATGGTTCATCCAAGCGAGTCAATATATAAACAACCGATATATACAATCCATCATTACCCAACAGCCCATCACTTCACTCCCCTAGATCGCATTGCTGGCACAGGAGAAGCTCGACTTGGACGAATCGTCGTGGATGGCCTTGCCGGAGACATACAATCCCAGACCGCACTAGCATGAGTTAGTATACAAGAGAATGCGACGAACCGAATTGGAAGACTCACAATGATGGCACCAATGCAGAAGATCAGCATGTTGATGATGGTCAACGCGATCTTGCGCGGAGAAGACCACCACTGGCCCCAGTTCATGTGCAACCAGTACACACCCGAAAGTCCGTAGGTGAACCAACTGGCAAACAAGGAACTGATCAAGCTGACGATGTTGCTGAAGGAAGGGATACCCTCGGCGATGATCCAGGCGATGACCCAGCAGGTGACGCCAATGCCAATCCAGGAACCAACGGCGACAAAGTCACGCTTGCCCATGCGGTCGGAGTGACGGAAGATGCGCACGTAGATATATTTCAAGCCAACGTGACCGTTCACAACACCAGCTCCGACAATCTAAAGCTTTGGTCAATACGAGTGATAATAGGCAGACAAATTTGCTAGGTCATACCGTCGGGATGGCAACGCCATAAGCAACCTTCTTCAACACCGGACCAGCGGAGCCAAGAGCCGGCGAGTCAACCCCGTTACCGACGAAGTAGTAGATGACAATGGCTGCGGTGATGTAGAGAGCGATTTCGAAACCCTGAAGCAGACACAAGGCCTTGGGGAAGTCCTTCGGCTCCTCCATCTCGGCAATCAGACCGAAGAAGGCCACGTGGGCGCAGTAAGCGAACACGATCTGGGTGACGCCGTTGAACGCGTGGTACAAGTTCGTATCGGTGGTGACACTGATGTTCTGGCCTCCCTTGTACTGCACACCCACACCAATCATGGTGATCATGACCGCAGTGAAGATACTCAGGAAAGCTAAATCAAATCAGTTTGATTCAATTGATGTTCAGTCGGAGTACTCACAAGCGCAAGAAATGTAGGTCAAGTTCTTGATAGTCCGGGGCAGCGACAAAACCAGACAGATCACGAAAGCCACAACACTGAACACCATCGAGCAGGTACCGTGGTCGGTAATCGTGTTCATCATTACAGTGAAAGTGACAATGTGACTGCCCATGATGAAGATCGAGAACAGGATCTGACCGAGACCGAAGAGCTCGCGACCGAACCGACCCATGAGGATCTCACCCGCATCAGCCAAGTTGTGGATCGAGGGATGGCGTTCGCGGAATTGGCCGATGACATAGCCGGTGTAGAGCGCAAGAATACCGAGTCCGATGATGAGGATAATCGCGCTGTGTCTGTGAGTGGGATGCGAAGAAGTAGCCATGACAGCAGAACTTACGGCACCAGGCCCAGCGCAGTCAGCGTCGCGGGCAGGGACAAAACACCCAGCGAGACGGACTCGGCGATCATGACTGTTGCGATTAGTATTTATCTAGCCATGGATCTGTCGCATTCCACATACACATTCCACATTGCCTGCATGGTCTGTTAGCTTACTTCGTCGACGGCGGATAGCGCAACAATACATACCACCACTTGAGCGTCTTGTACTTGACCTCCGCATTGGCCTCGTCACCAAATGCATCGGGCTCCTTCCCCTCATCGACCGCCTTCAAGTCCTCAAGATCGTAGGGAGGAAGATCATTCTTCTTGATCTCTTCGCCGTGGGCCGGGGTCGCCATGTCGTCTACACGTTGTCGATATGTCACGGGCAAAGGTCGAGAAAGGACAGGCACACGTCGCGCAGCAGAATCACAATCGCAAACGGACGGAGAGTCGAACGTTGGCGCGCCGACAGCTGCAGGACAGAAAATTTCTGGCGGGTTTGTGGGTCAGACAGTGAAACCTCCGCTCCTCCGCTGCTGTTAAGGTTGATGCAGACTTGAAACTGAGTTCAACGGGTGAACTAGATAGTCTCTGCAATAGCACTGACACCAGAACACAACAACAGAGAAGAAGAGAAGGAGGAGAGAAGGATGCAAGACACAGACAGATAGACAGACAGATAAGAGCCCTGGTGGTTTTCCACGGGAAATTGAGATCTGGACTCCGTCGTAGCTACCCTGTTCGGAGATCAGCCCTGGCTGCTGCTGCTTGCGGCCATAGCGGAAGTAACGCGGTGATGGTTGCCATTGGTGCGTTGTGCTCCACCCCGCTAGACGCGGGTGGGGCGGAGAACAAGCGTAGACCAATTGTGGCTGTCTGCGGTTAAAATTAAGTAATGGATTGGCCCCGCTGACCGCAGTGTGCGCGGCTTGCCGACAGTAGCCGCTCCTCCGCCGGCCACTGATTGGTGCGGCCCTGGCTAGGTTTATGAGGCTCGGTGGGATTCCGTTCCCGCTTCTAGAATTTTTTGTCCGGTTTATAAAAAGCTGCCGACTGCTGATAAGTTGCCTGCCACGGCAGTTGACTGTTTTCCATGACCATCTATTAGCTGATGGAAACTGGGCAAGGGGCGATGATTTGTCGCTGCAGCGCTTCTTATCGCAGACGCACGTTTGTTGCGGTTCACTACTCCAGGTTTGGGGCCGGTGGACGGCTGTGCCGGCATCCGAGCCATTCCTGGGTGTTTCGGCCTTGGCAAGAAAAGCTTTGGTTCGCCTTCCAGATTTTTTTTTCGGCTTGGCAATGGTGGCTGTCGGCCTTATCGGTGTTTTAGACGAGAGTGTTGGGCCGTGCAATGAGATTAGCTGCTCAACACTGAGAGGTGGAGTGTAGCCATCCTTTTTATCTGCTCGCTAAGGGTTTAGTATAGTACATCGATTCGATTCTCTTCTTGTCTCCACAAGTCAACACCATCTGCTGTACATTTGTCTAGTATTTCGCTCTAATCATCTGTTGTGGTTTGTCCGAGCGTATTAAAAGCTATCGAAGTATACTCGAGGAAGGTCCCCACTTCGGCAGAAATTTTGCCGATGCTGTGATTCCTGGGATCTTAGGGATCGGAACGCAGTGATCATAACATGAAGCCAAACTTGAACACTGAAAGCACCATCTTCCCTAATCCGTTCTTCGTTTCGATCTCACAACACCTTATCTTTCTTCCTTATCTAAAAAAATAGCTTGGGTCAACACTGCTATGAAAGATTACCTGTAAAATTATACATCTCGTTGAAGCTTCAGTTCCGTTCAATCATAGTCAGTAGTGAATTTCAGATGTGTCTAATGACTGAAGAAATTGCCGAGTCCGTTGTATCGATTTCTCACTTTTTCCGCACCTTTCATTTCCTTGTTAAGAATTCCCCCGGACTTCTCCTTCGCAAGCATGTGGTGATGGCATTGATCGCAAAGAACAATGCCCTCAAAGTTTGTATAGCCTTGACTGCTGTCAATATACAGCCCACGTGATCGGTCCTCGGTCAAAAAGTGGAATTGAAAATCGTACACTTTCACAAAGAACAAATGGAAACGACGTGTGTCTGTTTCAAGAACACTGAGCAGTCTTGATATCCACAGAGAACAAGCCAGGGCCTTGTATCTTCAGCATGCAGCGCAAACCCATTGATGTAAAACCATGATAAGATTCCAGCCTTACTAAACAACAACCTTGACAAGGCAAACGCACTATGATCATCACATAACCCTCTCATCCGGACCCCAGTTCTGATATGTAAAGCACAGAGAAACTCCACTCACGACCCAACATAAACACCATAAACTCCAGATCAAACCCCCTCCCCACAAAACCTTACTCAACCCTAGCATAAGGATACTCCCTGATCACCTTCCAAGTAACCCCCTGAATCACAATGAGCAGATCCAACGCCGCCTTAAGATCGTACCCCTTGGGATTCCTCCACCCATCGATCTTCTTAATCAGCCCGCGATAGCTTTCTCCGACATACGGCTTTGCCTTCTCATCCTCGTCCTCATCCTCAAACTCCTCCCTCAACCGAATCTTGCCCCTATGGCAATTAATTTCCAACGCCCCAAGCCGTCTAGCATTCCTATCAAAGTGCTCGTCGCGCGCATCCTTAATAAACTCCCTCCTCATGTGCTTCACCGCCTCCCGCACGCGGAAGATAGCCCTACAGCGCCAGCGGTTGATACTCTCTGCTCGCCAATCCTACATCAGCCTCATTCCAACCAACTCAATAACACGCACACAAAAGAAACCGGAAAAAGGGAGGGGGTGAAATACTAATAATCATCTCACAAACCCGCAACTGATACACATTTGCCCGGACCTCGTCGGTGGCATTCTCGATCGCCATGCGCGTGCAGCACCGCAGCACGTTCTGGCGGCCGTACACCCAGGCCACGAAGATCCACTTCACCACCACCTCCTCGGAGTAGCAGCGGGGCAGCCGGCGCTCCAGCCGGTCCAGCCACCCGCCCACGTAGAACTTGACGACGTGCACGCACCCGTAGTAGTCGGCCATGATGGTGAGGTCGACTAGGGTCTGGAAGTCGATCTTGTCGGGCCACGGGTGGGTTTGGTGGTGGATGATCCGCATGAGGAGGAGGAAGGGGGCCAGGGGCCATTCGACGGTTAGGGTCAGGTGGCCGGTTTCGGTGAGGGTTTGGCCTTCGGTGAAGTTGGGGTGGGTGAACATGCGGGAGAAGAAGGGGGATGCGCTTGCTAAGTGGGTTTTGCAGGCGTGAATTTTGTGGACTGTGGGTTGCGGGGTTGGGGTGGGGGTGGGTTGTTTGTGTTTGAGGTGGTGGTGGTGGTCTTTGGTCTGGGGATGGGGATGGGGATGCGGACGGGGTTTCGAGTGCTGGTCAGCAGTGGCCTGCTCCTGGGTAGTATGGGAGTACTTGGTTTTCTTCCGGGGTGGGCACTCGGAGATGGCGACGCTGGAGAGTTGCATGGCGAGGGTATCGGAATTATCAGGTTCGGCTTTGATGGCTGGTGCGAGGGTTGATGTAGTAGACGATTCGCCGGCGGGCTCCTCTTGGAGGAGGAAGGTTACCTCTCCACCTTCGTAGATGTGGTGCTCTGTCTTCTCGCACATTGTGGGATGTATTGCGTGTGTCGTTTGGGGGTGCTATGTTGTGGATGGATGAGGATGCTGGGAGAATGCTGGTAGGGGCATAAGGATGGCGAGGGATGCAGGAGAAGGAAAGAAGTTCTCTTTGTCGACAGAGAAGATTCTATTTATGCCTCCGATGTTCGCTGCCTGAACACTGTTGCACGATGCGGCGATGCCATAGTTCCTGTCATTCCTTTCTGTAGTTGGACAGAGCATGGGCATCAGGGATTTTCTTGTGGCTTTACGACCAGCAATCACCACTTGTCAGAGCCGAACTTGTGCACTTTTACTAGAGACCCTTTCAGTCTTCCTCCGACTGTAGCCCAAAAGAAGCATACCTTCATGAAGATAGGTGCTAGGGCGTCAGGTAGGACTCGATGTTTCGGTAAGCGGTCATTCAAACACCATTCACTCAGTTCCAAGCAACTGCCCGGACCGACAGCTTGAGCTCAGCAGCAAGCAGCATTTACTCATACGGAAAACCATTATCAATAACTCAGCAGCATTATGAAAATACCATGGAACAAACGTACAAATGCTCTGTAAATAACACATTCCATTCAAGCTTGCAGGGAGGGGAAAGGTTAAAGGCTAAGTCGCAGAAGAAGAGCGTGATCGCAGGAGCTACAGCAAAGTTATAGTAAGAACAGCTAAGTTACAGTTTCCTTTCGAGAAAAAAAAATCCGCAAAATTCATTCACATGCTATGCCGACCGACCATTGTCCGAAAAAGAAAGACGTCAAATCATAATGCTAGCAACAAGAAAAAGTATGTCAAGCAATATATACAAGAAGCGAAAATTAAATCATCTGTACAAGGGTTGGTCACCAAATGGCGACCACCAGAAACTGCTGCTGCACCCATCTAATCCTTTTTCTTGTCCTTCCCCTTGCCCGGGCGTCTATAATTATACCGCATCCAGTTCTCCGTAACCCACCACTCGGCGACGTGGGCCGCATCCCGCACCCAGCTGACCACGTCGGGACTGTATTCCGCCTCCAACGTCTTGGCCAAGTCGACCAGGTTGAAGTTCTTGACGGGGTGCAGCTCGATCGGGTCCTGCGAGAGATCGGTGAAGCGCCACTCAACGTCGTCGACGAGCGGGATGACCAGTCGGTAGGCCGGGCGAGCGGCAGAGCGCACGGCCAGCCATGATCCGCCGGTGTTCATGACCGTGAACTGCCAATTCTGCCGGCCGTCCTTTTCGGGAATCTGCGGGCGGATCATCGACTGGCCCTCGTACATCGACAGGAGGTCCTGCGCGGCGTGGCCACTATCGGGACCGAGGGAGTGGGACTGGATGAGGAGATCGAGAATGGTAGGGATGATTTGTTGCGAGATTACGGGGGTGGTGACTTCGATTTGGGGAAGGTGGGGGTGAGCGAAAAGCAGCGGGACGTGGAAGCTGCCGACGTGGGGGTTGTCGTAAGGAGTGACGCCGCCGTCGTTGGGAAGGGAGAGGCCACTAAATTTGTTAGCAGATTGTCAGATAGTACGATGTTCGATCTGGACATACTGATCACCAGCCATCACGATCAAGGTCTCGTTGATGATCTTCTTCTCGTTCAAGATCCCGATGATCTCTTCCAGCCACTTGTCAATGTAGCCGATGGTATTGAGGTAGCGGTTGAGGTCATTATTAGATCCTGAGCTGGTCGAGCCCACGATCGACTCGTAAGTGTCGTTGGGCATGCCCCAGTGGTGATGCGTGGTGCCGGTTAGGTGGGTCAGGAATAGACGGGTGTGGTTCTTCTCCGCAGCGTCGATGGCGTCCCGGACGTAGTCTCCGAGAACCTTATCCGGATAGCCGTAGTAGTTGACCTCCTTTTCCTTAACGGGATAGTGCTTCGCTTTGGGGTTCTCCAGCGTCTCCTTGGTGATGACATCATAGTATCCCAATTTCGGTGTCAGTTTGTCCTGGTTATCGTAGGTTTCAGTGACGGACTGCATCCAGACGGAGTGCCAAGGCCAGGTGCGGTAGTCATTGGAAGCGGGGATGGTGTTGTTCTCGCGCACATCCGGCAGTTGGTTCAGGGCAGTCAGCACATGCGGCATGCACGGCTGGTATATGTGATGCTCGTACTCGCGGTTGAAGTCCGCCACCAGGGGCGTCACCCCACAGAGGGTGCCTACCAGACTCTTCAGAGTGTAGGTCCCCGTGGTGAAGGCATTGCTGGCACTGATGCCACCGTACGACCGACGTCCGTAGTCCTTGACCATGTCGTGCTTGTACCTGGCATCGAAGCCAGTCAGCCACTCCGCTGTTCTAGTAAGGTTGGCAATCCGCTTCTGGACGTCCTTCGGAATCTTCTTGTCGGGGTAGGTCTCCGCAATGCGGTCCCACATGAAGGTGCCGTTCTTCAGCGGAAAAACGTCGCCACGGGTACTTTCGAGCTTAAGCAAGATAACGTGTTTAATGTTGACATTACCGCCAGAAAGAGCGTCATGCAAGGGATCGAGAAGTGGGCTCCGAAGGTTGGAGATGTGGAGAGGGTCTCGGTTGGGATCGTAGTGTCGTGGGGGTGGGTGGATTTTGTCGGATTGATTCCAGTCACCAAAGCCGGGGAGGGGCTCCTTCGGCAGCCACGACCATTGTGGAGGCCGCTCCAACGCCGTCTGTCCTTCCAGCCAGCCATAATCCCCCGGCAGCCCTTCTGCTCGAACCGGAGACACCCGGTGGTGTCCCAAGAAGGGAGCCACGGGCAGCGCTTCGGAGAGGAACATGTATGCCGGATCCCACGGACGGACCACGCGCAACAGGAAGAGGCCGACAAAAGGTATCCAGACGGCCAAGCGACGTGCCAGCGAGTGACCCCGCGGCCTGGGCGGGGCGACAGCTCCGTAGGGCTCCAGCAGGTGAATGGACGATCCGTCGTCACTCTTGTCGTCCAGATAGTCGTCCTCGGAGAGATGGTCGTAACGCTCCGGGTCGGACAGTGAAGTCGTCTTGGGGATGAACCCGCGCACACAGCCCGCACAGCATTTGAAGGGTTGTGCCAAGATGTTCAGGATCCCCCCCACTGCGCGATGCAACGGGGCGGCGACAAACCAGGCGACAGTGAGCATAATACCCTCGACGATCAAGAATCCGGTCAGACCGGTCAGGAGGGTGCGCATGGCGGCAGCATCGTGGTGGAAGGTGGTGGCTTGTCTCCAGTGGATTTCGGCTCCGGTGAAGACATAGAATGAGGTATTGGCGGCGGTCATTCCCGACATGATTAGACTATGACCACAGAATTAGTGATGTGGCGTTTTCCCAACCCGGGGGACGTCAGTGAGGGGGGGAGAGAGATCATCTTTACCTGAACGGAACAACGATCACCGCGGAGATGGCGGCGACCGACCGCCACGGCAGTTTCTGGGTCAGGATGCGCACCAGCAGCACGAGGACCACATCTTGGCAAAAGAAGGTGACTCCCCACAGGAGGAATTTGGACGGAGGTAAAGAATGGATATGAGCGTAGAGATGCAGGAGCTTAGCACCAAACATGGCCATCAAGGTGAGAGCGAAGAAATAGCGGCGTGTGAAGTCCCAGAAGTGATCGAAAGCCTCCAAAGGCGAGGCGCGCAGCCGCACCCAGGCGGCCAGGCAGCAACGAGCCGGATTGAGGTTGACGAGCTTCATCTTAACGGAATCCACAAGAATCAAATCACATGGCACACCAGAAGGAAGACGAAACCATCAAATCACTCCATGAGCCAGCTGGAATGAATCACCGGGATAGAAGGCCGGACGAGAGAGAGATAGAAGGGAGAAGATGGGAAGAGGGAAAAAAAGATGAAGAAGGAGAGAGTGTGAGTGTGGGTGTATAGTAATCAACCAAAGAGGGGAAAGGGGAGAGACAGTGGTTTAATGTACAAAGAACGAAAGAAACACGGCTAGCGCATCATAATGAGATGATGGCCGCATGGCAGCTCCTAAGTGGAACAAACTGAGAAAAAAAAGAAGAGAAAAAGGGCTGAGTTTAGGAGACTTAGATCGGAGCCGCAACCAATTCATCCATTCATTGACTAGACCAACTAGCTCATTAGAAACTCACAGCTAAGAAAAAACTGGGGCCGAATTATTGACCGGGTTGGAGCTGCTTAGGAGGCTTAGTGCGTGTGGTTGACTCCATCATGTCCAGAATGTCCATAACTCCATATCAATTTTCCATCGTCTCGCAAGATCCTACTGGAAGTACTCAAAGGGCCGAAATGGACCCTGAAAGCCCATAGACCCTGAGGTTGTGATTGGTGCTGTCTCTTCATCCGCGGTAATTTTAGAACCCAAGAGTGGAGTTGGGCACCCAATCAGCCACCCTGCCAAGGCTGCAGGGTCTGGAAATCGGATGGATTTGAGACAGGGGCAATCATTACTGTCTGCAGTGTAAAACCATTGTGCTCAACCGATGAGTACCGTATTCCAGCAACCCAACATCCATGAGTCGATCCGTACATGATATGGTACTCCGTAATGGTCGTAAAGAGACAGTGACACCAACTCTCCGCAGTCTTTCCTCATCTATTTTGGCACCCCCTGGCCGGACGATACCTAGTAGTACCTAGTAGAGTTTTTCTTCTCAAACACCGGCAAATTCACTCAGGGTCCCCCTCGGCCCACTAACCCCAGATAGGCAATCTGACAGTCAGCGAAAGTCCTGAGCAGGTGACCTCATTCCCCTTTTGGGTGACGGCCAGTCCCTTCACCGCCCAATCACCGCCTTCCATGTGGAGATTCTCCAACTCCCTCTCGCTGCAAATTTCCTCTCCACAGCAGCTCTGCCCTGCCCTGCAGGCACTGCTGCACTGCTGCACTGCTACACTCCTGCACTCCTGCACTGCCTGTGGGTGTCTCACTCACCAGTCCGGTTCTGCCTGCTGCTGTCAGACTAACTTTGCCACATGGAGTCCCCCAACCTGAACACGAGCAAAATGCCCCCTTTTTGCCTTTGGGGGCTTCCCCCCTTCCTGCTGTTGTCCGACAGTCTTCCTGCAGGGACTGGCTGATGGTAGTGCCGCGGGAAGCAGCCGCGGCACGATCACTTCCAACGGGATTGCTTGTCTGACGGCTACGTTACTACTATAGGTACTTATTTTAGGGGGAGTCGATCCGGATGCATTGGCCGACACCGACTAAAAGTCGATCCCGTTCACCCCGTTCACTCCCAAGCATTGCCATACAGACTTAGGGGTTCGTGGCAGTATCGGGTATCCGCTCCCAATCTCAGAGATTTCTATCCACCGTTATATTGAGACTATCTGTGGTCCTGGAGCGAAATTCAGGCCGGAGATCACCGGGAGGGGCTTTGAGACGGCGGCGCATTGGCGGACCCCAGCTGACGGTGGCACCTTCGCCTTGGCTTGTTCGTATTGCCGGACTCTGGCCGCCAGAGTCACTCTGCTTGTTGGGGGCAGTCAGCCTGTGGGCAGGCTGATGAAACAACTGGCAGAATTGACGTGCTGTCCGCTGGACTGGACCGTACAGTAACTTACCTATCTCGTGACTCCGGGCTCAGACCTCAAAGTTAGGCCATGCCGCAGCTACTGTTTGTTGAAGGTAGCTCGAGCCTGTCATTAGACAGGTTCATTTGCACGATCTAATACGATAAATGCACCTTGGTAGATTCATTTTCGACCGTAGAAAAATTCACTATGGCCGATACGTTGCAGTCATTCCTTCATTTACGTTGTTGATGTGGTTGCCCGAAGTGGCATTCCGACTCGTGACTCCCAGGAATATATTTCCGCCGCGACCGGTATCCTCCTCCCCCGCATCATCGCCCCCTCACCAGTAAACAACATCACCAACGCGATCATTCATCGTCTTGCTCAGACTCTCTCAACCAGAGCACTACCTAGTAGGAAGCTAGGAATACTACAATCTGTTGTGTTTGTCAACACTCACTGGTCGCTCCATGATGTCCTCAATCGCATGGCCGATTGAGCCACCGTCCTCGCTTAACTCCACCGGCAGTTGAAACACCCCCCGCCCGCTCACTTCTGACACCCGTGATCATTGTCGCCAATGTCAAGCCTATTGCGACCAAGCTCATCCAACACCATCGTACTCGGTCGCTAGCCCTGTCGGCTAGTTTGCGAACACTCGTTGCTGCGCTTCCCTCCGCGATGAAATCGTCCCAGTGAACCTGCGCCAGCTTCGCTTGATACTGCCCCACATTCTTCGGCCAGTTGTGCACATTCCGTCCGTCCTCAGTCTTGTACCAGCTGCTACATCGCGCATCCGCCCAGGAGGTCTCACTCAAGAGGTTTTGGAGTTGCTCGTTATATGCCCGAAGCGCATCGGGCCGGATGCGCAACGCCAACGTTTGCCCGTGCAACCGGGATTCAACCACCGCGGTAATCAGTTTTCCGAGATAGCGTGACTGAGCCTCAATAATATGGACGACTGAGTTATGGCCTGCCTGGTCAGTGTCTTAAGCATCACTCCGCTTGCGTACCCACTAACCGAGATTTGTGTTCGGCCCATAGAGTAAACCGAAGTTGGGGAGATCTTCCGCTACCACCCCTCGATACGCCTGAGCGCCTGCCTTCCACAACTCCCGCAATGGACGGCCGTCCAGCACGTAAATGTCCATTGAAAACAAGAAGCCGACCGTGTGAGACCCTGTTGCCAGTACAATCAGATCGAACGGTTGGGCTTCTTCCGTCTCCACTTGAATCCCCGTGGCTGCGATCCGCTGAATGGGCTTCGTTTCCAGATCAACGTGCTTGTGGTTAAGCACCGGGTAATAATCATCGGAGAGGAAAAATGCGGTTGCACCCGAACGGATATCGCGGGGTCAGTGTGTCCCACAAGTCTGGTTTATCAGGCAGTTGAGATTTCATCCACCGCACAATCCACTCGATCTGGGATGGAGAGTAGTCCGGGTTGGTGATATACGCATGGAGGGACTCCCGAATGCGCATCAAAACCCCGCGCTTAAACTAGCGTACCGGTGGAACCCAAATCAGCAGAATTCATCAAGGCGCCCAATGGATAGATCCTGGCGAGGGATAATCCATTTGGGTGACCTTTGGTAGACCATCAGCCGTGACGCGGTCTTGGCCAGCTCCGGAACTACCTGAAATGTAGAGGCATCTGCTTCTCGTTAGCCTGGCCCTTCATTTTCCATGCCAAGAATCACAACCATTCCCGATCACAGCGATCCGTTTGCCTGCAATATCGTAGGTGCTATCCCATCGGGCGGAGTGCATTTGCTTGCCGACAAAGCTGCCGAGACCTGGAATGTCAGGGTAGCGAGGGATGTTCAATTGTCCAGCTGCGGGAAAAAGGAAGTCGGTGGTGAGCTGGTATTGCGACTGCATTGAACTCTCCAGATCACCAGTGGAAACGCGAACCCTCCATAGCAACTGATGGTTGTCCCACTGTGCTTTATGCACGGTCGAATCGAACCGAATATGACGTTGCAAATTCCATTTACTTGAAACCTCATCAAGGTACTTCTGTCCAATGGTTCAGTGCATGGCCGACATCTCGAAATGGTGCAAGCTCATACCAGGATTTCCTCCTGGGTAGGGTAGTCCCGTGTCCAATTCCCACGCTGTTCAAACGAAAGACTATACAGCGCGCTGCGGACTATACGTTCATGAATTACTGCGGGTCATTGGTGTCATATGTTCACTTACTATCGCATGCGCATCCAGGATACCGGTTCTCATACCATGTACCTCCAAGACCGCTGTTCTTTTCCACAATGAGGAAGTTGGTGGTGGGCACGTGACGGAGGAGCTCAATGGCCATACAAATGCCTATCGATCAGCCTGACCTTTGACCATGCATTGACACCGAGGTCAGACATACCTGATATCCCTGCTCCTATGATTATCACCGAGCAGTGACTAGAGCCTTCGCATACGGGATATTCATCTGTCACGGATGTCATTCTGAAGGCACATGAGATGGTATTATGCCCTGGACCTCTTCGGAAATGCGATCGCTTGCTTTTATGAAAACAACAAACAATGCCGACCCCGCGCGGCGAGGATGAACTACACTTGTTGGCCGAGCTGTGAATGTGACCGGAGCCCGGCCCCCACATTTTCTTTTCTCTTTGCTACGATTGGCCGTCTCATATCTGTCTGGATTCTCATCGATGGATTGGAGTTGTGACAGGGCATCAATCGGCTTGTTCCGCGGGTCGATTCAGCCACAGTAACATGGTGGCGCGGCAATGATTGTACAACTGACAAGTGCAGCATCATCCAAAAGCCGCCAGCACTGCCGATTTACTGGTACAGCCAATTTGATATTCTGCAGCTCTGTGAAGCCTGATGCAAAGACTCTTGCAATGAGAATTGTCTACCAGCCATCGAGCTCACTTGGCGAAACTCACCATCCCAGTTGTCCTTGTGCGGCTGAAGTCCAGAGGTTAAGTCGATGATGACTGGAAGAAGCCTAACCAGGACTATCATCCCATTGGCATAGAGGCTCGAGAACCATTACATGAATGAATGAAAGCTCAAACGGAAGGAGACTAGTAACTTGCATTACTCTAGTGTCGTCCTGAGGAATCATTTAAAGACAATCTGATTGACTTCCACTAACCCGTGCGATACTCGAACAACCAAACTCTTCCGACAGTGTCTGCACCTCATTTTAGTCCTGACTCTGACTATGCCAACCATACCATCCCCCCAACCCGGCATCGTGGATGGCCATGACTAGCCATGTGACCAGGCCCTACATTTGCATATCATAGGCATCGATGGCGTTGTCGTACGCATCATCAACATCACCGGTTCCCTGCCGGATGGTTTCCTTGTCGGCTCCGGCCGCCTTAGCTTGCAGGGCCACGGACAGACCATCGGTCTTGACCCGAAGCGCATGGAGATTGGTGCGGATGGTGCTTCCCACGCCGGCGGTGATGAAGAGATTCCGCTACACATTGGTCAGAATCATGGTGGGCCACGGTTGGAATTCAAGATGGATAATGGTCGAGATGAAAGAACATGAGAAGTGCATGCATGGGGTGATGCGACTAACCTTCAGGACCAAAGCTGCGATGGAACTGCGCATGACCGGCTCCAACTGGGTCAGAGCCTCAGTCACCCGGCTACTCTCCGAGGCCGTGAAGACCGCAGTGCCGTTGACGTCGGCAGAGGCCTGGTCGAGGGACCGCTCGACGGCGGCCTCCTGAGTCTGAATCTCGAGGGCTGCGGGCAAGCCTCCGGAGTAGCTGTAGACGGCAGCACTCAGAGAACCAATGTCGGTGTTGATCTGAGTCAGATCCTGGATGATGGTGGGGATATCCCGCCTGATGACGCGAGCCGTGGCCAGAGCCAGGAGGGAGAGAACCGAAGCGGTGGTGAGAGTGAAGCGCATAGTGCTGATGCTGTTGATTGGGTCTGTGGTGTGGATGCGGATGGGTTGGTGATTGTTGTTGAGCTCCGAGAGAGGAGCGATTGAGCCTTTATATCCAATTCTGAGGGATATGCTGGGCCCCAGACATGTCCCTGTTGCGCGTGTGTTGCTGTGAACTTCCTATGTTTGACAATGGGGGCTACGGTCCGGTAATTTACTCCGTGAGGCTTGTGTTGCCATGAGTCTAATGTCATACGTGTGCTTCGGTTTGCTACAGATCGGTGTTTATGTGTCTGACGACAAGTGCGACAACACAGCGCCAATGCAGCACTGAGAGATACGCGCGTGTGTACAGTACGGTGTTGTGCTATGCACCCATCGAAGCTGGACTCAATACGGGAGTCTAGTGTACGAAAGGAAGAAGATTGAACGCGATGGAAAGATCAAGGGATGACGACGATGCACCGGGACCGACAGTCGACGTCGGGATTCTCCCAGACCGACCACCCAATGGAGATCAAGCAGGGACAGAAGAAAGCCAGGTGTGCAAAGGTGAAACGCCCGTAGCTTCCCCAATTCCCTTCCCTCTGGGTAGGACGGTTGCATGACTTGGTGCTGTTCCACCATTCATCTCACCACCGTGATACTTGCGCAACAGCGGTCTCTGGATAGCCATACACGCATCCTTCCCATCTGCACAATGCCCGACCGCAGGGGGACACGGTACCTGAGTGTATATCCGCCTTGTGTTTCGACTAAGCCGTGGCCTGACAATGTCCTGTCCGTCACGGGAGAAGATCGGAGGAGAGTCACTGAGCGACAGACACGAGCGCGAAACAGTATCCGACCGGACCAAAAAGCTTGCCTGTTGTTTTTTTGTTTCTGTGAAGCTGGGTGTCACACCGGCAAACCTTCCGTTGGCCTAAAGCAGGCATAGAAACGAGGAGTGATTCGGACCGAGGAGAGAGCCGTGACCGGCCCCAGGCAGGACGTGAATCAGTCAGCAGTGCCCGAAGACCGGATTGGCCCCTCGGGAAAGACGGAGAGGCGATGACGATGAGCAATGTTGATTAGCAAACCGAAACGAAAAAAGAGGGGCCCCAGGCTGACCGAGGCTGGAATTTGGGGAAGGTGAAGTGGGAGGACTCAGAAGGAGAAGGAGAGATATGGAGGGTGGGCCGTGGGGTGAAATGCTTCATTGCGTAACAGAATGCTTGATTTTGCAGACAGGTGAGTCTTTTTTACTCGTCCGGTAGTCAGGTTATCAGCCTGTCTATCTTGACCATGCCGACTGCCGAGGGGCGGCGGTTCACCGATGATTGCATCAGGGAAGGAAGCAGACGGGCACTCGATCGGCAATCCTGCTTTGGGTGGCCATCACCTGACAGCACCTGACCTCACCTGACCTCACCTGACCACTGCAGGCTCTTTACCCCCCGGGGTGCGGGAATGACTCAGCTCTCCCCACATCCGTGCACCAATCAACTGAGGATGCTTTCATAGCCGGACTTTAGGCTAAAGTCCTTTCCTCTCTTACTCAACCTTCTGGCAAGAAGTTACGCCACTTGATCTTGGGAAGAAAGCTTGTCCGAGGCTTGTTTTCCGTCTGCGGCCAACTTTCCAATCCCCACGGAACCCTCTCCCCCCAGTCAGCAGAATGTCTGCCGACTGACCATTGAAGATTAGAGCATGGAGATTCTCCATATCCATCCATGCATCTGTGCATCCATTCTCTCTGGAGAACTTTCGTGGACCCACCCCGCCCACCTATTGGCCTGGCCATTCGGTCATCTGTTCACCGGAGAAATTCAAACCAGACCAGCAGCAATGCTAGCAGAAACGTCACCGGCGGCCCCAAAAATGACTTGGTTCTGTTACTTTTAAAGACTCTCCCCTCCCAAACATAAACCCACCGGTTCCTGGATTTTCTGTGCTTCTGCCATCTCCTCTCTGGTTCTTCCTGCCCATGATGGCTGCCCCTTTGAACCACAAGGAATTGGAGAAGACGGAGCAGCATGAGTCGCTGCCCGTTGTGGTGACGGCTGAGGAGGCAATTATCCGCGCCCGCCAACAACCGAACGTTGCCCTGCCGCTGCGCATCACCTTTGACCACCATGACCCCGACAATCCGCGCTGCTGGGGCTTCTGGCGCAAGTGGTACATCACCGTATTCGTGAGCATGCTCAATGTCATTACCACCTGGTGTTGTGGTTCTTTTTCCTCTGGCGCCACGCAAATTGCCGATCACTTCCACGTTTCGAGTGAAGTCACCACCTTGTGCTTGTCCCTCTACGTTCTGGGCTACGCCGTTGGCCCTGTCCTACTCGCCCCCTTGTCGGAGTACTTCGGCCGCCAGCCGATCTACATCGTCTCCTGGTTCATCTTGTGTATCTTTCAGTTGCCCTTGGCACTGGCCCCCAACATTGGTACCATTCTCGTGTGTCGTCTGATCGCCGGCTTGGCTGGTGGTGCCCCCTTGACCAACACCGGAGGTACTATCAGTGATCTGTGGGAGCGAGACCACAGTGGTTGGCCTATGGCGGTGTACGGCCTCAGCAGCACCGCGGGTCCTCCCCTGGCGCTCGTCATGAGCGGGTACATCGGCCTCGACCTGGGCTGGCGGTGGATCTTCTGGATTATGATGGCCATCAGCGGTGGCTTCTGGATCGTGCTAGTTTTCACGATTCCCGAGACCCGCCACTCCATCCGCCTGCAGCGAAAGACGGCCAAGATCCGTCGCCAGATGGAGAAGGAAGGACTACGGTCGGCGGAGTCGCTGGACGACATCCATGGCGACAACCGCAAGGGGCTGCACCAGTTGCTCGCCATCACCTTGACGCGGCCCGTCCGCTTTCTGTTCACCGAGCCCATCACGCTCTTCTCGGCCATCTTTAATGGCTTCCTCTACGGCCTCGTCTACCTTTTCAACGAAGCCTTTCCTCTCGTGTTTGGTGCTCCCCACGGCCACGGCTTCAACGTCGGTCAACAAGGCCTCTGCTTCTTGGGCATCGCCATCGGCCCCTTCCTCGCCTTCGCCGCCCACCCGCTGCAAGAACGCTACTACCGCCGCGCCGTCGCTGCGCACGACGGCCTCAGTGTCCCCGAAGCCCGCATGTGGATGGCCCGCCTGGGCGCGTTGCTGATCCCGATCAGTCTCTTCTGGTTCGGCTGGACCAGCTACGCCTCGGTGCACTGGATCGTCCCCATCATCGCCTCGGTCTTCTTCGGGGCGGGCCTGTATATTGTGATCTTGAGTATTCTGAACTACGTGGTCGACAGCTACCAGACGTACTCAGCCTCGGCGCTGGCGGGGGTCATTCTGGTGCGGAACGTTGTGGGCGCCGGGTTCCCGCTGTTCGCGACGCAGATGTACAACAAGTTGGATTACGAGTGGGCGTCGAGTCTGCTGGGATTCATTGCGATTTTGCTGGTCCCGATTCCGTTCATCTTCTTTTATAAAGGGAGGGCGATTCGGTTGCGGAGCCCGTGGGCCCGCGAGCATTTCGATTCGAATGAGGATAGTCCTCACTAGTTTATAGACATTCTGATAGACTGAAATATGATTAGATCGTTCATTGTTGTGTGTGAGCCTTACTGGTCAAATCTTAGATGACAGTACTTGTTGTATAGTAGCCTTTTGCCCTGTCCTTGGATGTAACTAGGTAAGTGGGCTTGGAAGTGGAGCTGCGCCATAGAGTGAGTCTAGGCTTCTTTTCAGCCCTCAAAGGGGTCATACATCAACCACTACATCGGAGTTCGCGTTCTGGTAGATACTGAAGTTCTCTCACCATTCCTGATCGGTTGATAGCCTTATTCATATCTTTCTCCTGCTATGCGATCATCCCGAGGAGGGTCACCTGGTTCACACACTTTTGTTACAGCCAGATCGGGGTGGTGGAACTGCAATTCCAAATCATGGATCCTGAGGCTCTGATATATCTGATCCCATGGTAACCAGGGATTTGTGGGCAGGCCGATCAGATTTGCAGCGCCAAGCCCGTGGAAACGTGTATGCGCATTGCATTTTGCATTGTTGCCTGGCCATCGCGCCCAACAGCTGACTCATCCATACAATGGAGGAGGAAACCCCCACCGAAGTATTTGAAATAACCTTCTTTTAAGTTAAGGCAGAGCCTTTTGCTGACGAGCAACACGAGGGTGAAGGTGCTGAATGTGCTGAATCTGCTGGGCGCATCTTGGCTGGCGGGGCGGACGCCGAAGCCAGTCGACTCAGCCTCGCCCCCGGTTTCTTTACTAATACGCTCCCTCCCCCGCCCACCGACAATCCACATTCGCCCTGCGACTGAGCCCAATCCTCTAGCGCTTTTCCTATTATGCCACTTACCATGGCCAATCAATCATTGCAGGTTAGCGGATACAGACTCCGAAGAACGCACGAGAAATCCCGGAATGGGTGCCTCAGGTGCAAACAGCAGCGGAAGAAGGTAGGTATTGAACAGCACATGGCTGAACCCTACGGCTCTGCCCGCACGGTGCTGATGTTAATCCCCCCCTCCCCCCAGTGCGACGAAAAAAGACCCAGTTGCTCCAGATGCACCAAGCGCTCGTATACTTGCCGATATCCGTTCCCTCTCAGCGATGGGAATTTGTCAGAAGAGCCGGAGTCAGCGGCCCATTCGCCCCTCTCCGACTTGCATGTAATCTCCGGGCCCGAGTCTCCTGGCTCACCCTCACATCATCACCATCATCATCGACGAACTGCCTCCCAATCACGCTCTAGTACGGATGAGGCAAGACTGGACCCCTTCCAGCTGGGGCCGCAGTCTCCCGATTTCCTCGATGCGACCGAGCTGAGCCTCCTAGCCCACTATCTCACGCACACGAGCCACATCATCCCGGTCGATCAGCTCGACCTCCACGCACTCTCCGTCGGCGTACCAAATCTCGCTTTCAGAAGCAAGGCGGTCATGTCCTCGTTACTTGCCTTGGCAGCAGCATGTCAGTCCCACGACATAGCCAAGCAGGCCCCGACGCCGCAGAGCCTCCTGCAGATCCGCGAGTTGCTGGGACTAGCCGAGCGCCACCACCGCGCCTCCCTCCGCCACATCCAGGAGTCCATGCAGAGTCCGGAGATGTACGACCACGTTCTCGCCAATGCGGCCCTGATGGTGCTCTACGCCTCGGCCAGCCACTCCATCCGCGTCCACCTGGCCGCTACGGCCAAGCAGCGGGGACAGCGGCTGCCGGGTGAGCTGCTGCCGCAGCACTCGCAGTGGATTTCGTTTACCCGTGCAGCACATACGGCATCTACCGCGGTGCTGAATGACATTGTGAATGCGACGGACGGAGCTAGTCCGGCCATGCATACCGAGCCAAGTCTCCCTAGCACAGCCCTAAACACCCCGGGGGTCCTGTCTCCACAAGACGGCCCCTCCGAGCACACAAAGCGTCTCTTCCTGCCCATTGTGGCATCAACCTACACCCAAGCCTTCGAACGTCTACGTAAGAGAGCAGAAACCACAGTCACTCTCCTGAAAGTCTCGAACCGATCCGGCAACATGGCCCAACTCCACGCATCCATCGAAACGGTCTCGATCCTCGAGCACTGCGCCGTAGCAGCACTCACCCCACGCCGAACCCCCGCAACAAGCCCCCAAACCCGGGCCCTAGCCCTGCACAAACGCGCGCGCGTCTCCCCCTGGGTCGCGAAATACATGATCAGCGTAACGTCGATAGAGGCGCCGCAGATCCTCCGCCGGATCATCATGTCGTTCCTCAATAAAGCGCCGACCGAGTATCTCGGCCTCGTGCAGTCGGTTCTTGACTCCTCATCCATGGGGATGGAAGGCTCCGCCACCGCCGAAGTGGGGACGCTGACGGCAACACATGTCCTGGCGATGGATATCTTTGCACACTGGTTGGTGCTGGTCATGTTGCTGGATGGGGTGTGGTGGATTGGGGGGATCGGGCAGTGGGAGCTGGGCCAGGTGTTGGCTGTGTTGAAGACGCAGGATTCGCTGGGCTTGGCGGAGACGGGGGAGACGTGGTGGCCCGAGAGTATGTATTTGGTCAAGCGGGAGCTGAGCCCTAGTGCTTCGTGAGTCTTACGACATGTAGAGGATAGAATTGGGTGCTTGGATTCCAAATACATGTACATGGCTGTTTCAAAGCGTCCGAATGTCTTGGCATAGTAAGCACAATGCGCTACCCATCGAGACCCCGTAACCCTAGTCTCGTCAGCAAGACAACCATCTGCAGAATCCATCAAACGAGGAATCGTTGAATTGCCAAGCATGATTGCCTGCCAAGTGAGTGAGATGCAGGCATTGCGCTGGCGAGAGGTAGGGCTGGGAGAGCGGCGTATGACTAATACGCTCCGCTTGAGGCTGTGGCTGTGCTTGCGTATACTGACGCTCTTTGACAGTAAGAGAGTATATGCGCAGTGAGTTGGGCTATCTTGGCCATTGAATGTCGACATTGTACCATAGAATAAGAAACAACAGAGCCTCAAGAGCATATAAAGCAACGAATCTCCCGCCCATCCCTACATCATCAGCCTAGCATCAGCAGCACACAAACTACCGCGTCGAACACCATATCTGACTTCTATACCAACCCGTTCACCATGTATCTCACGTCCACCTTCCACTCCCTCCTCGCGATGGCCCTCACCCTCGCAATCTCAGGCCAAGCAGCGCCATCACAGTCGCTCGCCTCACGCGCAACCTCCGACCTGCCTATAACAGCTCAACTAAAACTAGCAAACACGTACTTCCCCTGCCCCTTACCCTGACCCATCCCCCCCAGCAGACCAAGACTGACCAAGCCAAAGAGCAACCGAGCGCTACGCCCTCCTCCCCAACGACACCGACTTCATCTACGACTTCAGCGCCACCAACTCCAACAACGAAACCGCCCTCCCGATAGCCAGCAGCCAGAACTGGCCCGCTCTCGTCGGCGTCGGCCTCTCCTTCAGCATCTCCCAGCTACCAGGTACATTACCCAACCACGCCTACTCCCACCCCAATTATCAAACCAACCAACACACTAACCATAAAAAGCATGCACAATGTCCTTCCTCCACCTGCACCCCCGCGCCACCGAACTCTTCGCTTTAACTTCAGGCCGCATCCAAAGCTACATGGTGCCCGAGACGGGCGTGCTCGACGCCGCCGGCAACCAGCGCGTAGTCAGCACGGAGCTGACCCCGGGCACGGTCACGATCTACCCGGCGGGCTCGTTCCATACGCAGGTGAACCCGGACTGCGAGGCGGCGAACTTCACGGCGGCGTTTAATTCCGAGGAGTTTGCGGTGGGGTTGGTCTCGGCGAGGTTGTTTGCGTTGCCGGATGAGGTGGTGGGGAGGGCTTTGGGGGGCGTGGGCGCGGAGGAGGTACGGAGGATTCGGGGGTTGGTGCCGGATGAGGCTGCCTTGGTTGTGGGGGAGTGTGTGAAGAAGTGTGGGTTGGAGCAGTAGGGTTGCTTTGGAGGGGTGGCGGTGGGGGAGGGTTGGGTTGAGGGATGAGGGGTGGGGCTGAGACGTACTAGGGTTGAAGGGAAGGAGGGTTGAGGGTGATGATGAAGGGATGGGTTGGGGATAGAGGTCGCTTTCTTTTGTCCGGATAGGCTATGGATTCATTGTTATTGTTTGTGCATTTAAATGAATAGCTCTCTTGATTAACCATATTGCCTGTGGTTCCAAGACTGATGTACGATCTGCTCATAATGATTGGAAGACAACATGAATGCAGGGGCATTGCGATTGCTGCCAACTGCATCACGATATCCCGTTACCCTCGATGCTATTATAGGCTCGGCTGGATGGATCGGAGAATATCAAGCCATAAATTCCCCAATCTCGAAGAATGCATATGCCGTGCGTCCTGCATGTGGTTATCTTCTCTAGGGCTATCATGCACGTCCCTGGTGAGCCACGACCACACTCGCATAAAGGTTACACCTCCCCGTGTAACTCGAGACTTCCATCCGGGCCCTGATAGACAGACAACCAAGCGATCGTCTGAGGTTGATACTTGTTGACCAGGATAGATGGGGTTTGATGATGCGGACATACTTTTGTGATGCGTGGACCGATAATAATGAGAGATAGCTGGTCAGTTATCTTCCGATCATTACACCTTGTTGAGAATAGCTGTCAATGACTAGGTATGACCATGCATGGGTGGGTGATGGGATCTGTACATCAACAGATGGCCCCTCTAGTCCCATCTATATACTATCTTCTGACATGTCCTACTTCTCTCTTCCGAGAATCTTCGCCCTCTGTCAGCTCGCTTGATATAGATCGCCTGGAAAGCAAATCCAGCTATGCACACCATCCTCAGTTTGTTTCTGACCTCGCTTTTGGTGACTATCGCTCAGTCAACCACACCCACCCTTGCTGGAGACCTTGACATCATCGAACGAGATGTGGCCATCATCGGCGGAGGAGCAGGAGGCACATACTGCGCCATCAGCCTCCAAGACCAAGGCAAGTCCGTCATCGTGATCGAGAAGGAACACCGACTCGGGGGCCACGTCGAGACCTACGTGGATCCCGGGACAGGCATTGCAATGGACTATGGAGTCGCACTCTTCGAGAACACCTCCGTGGTCAACGACTACTTCGCACAATACCAGCGACAAGAACCAAATCACCCTCCTCGTTCGAACCCCCACGACCGATAGAAAGCTCACCCTCATCCACGCCAAGAAACTCCTGATCGCCATCCCCCCCAACCCCTCCCTCCTCTACCCCTGGCTCCGCCTCACCCCGACCAAACACTCCCTCTTCACCCGATACATCAGCACAGGCCTGTACGTGGGCCTCGTCAACGGCACGCGCCTCCCGCCCACCGCGGGCATCCTCAACCTCGCCCCCAACCACACCATGTACTCCTTCCCCTACCTGCCGGACACGTACAGCCTGATCCCCGCCCGCTTGCCCGGGTTGAAGCTCGCCACCTACGGCAGTCTGCAGACCACCGACCCGTTCCCGATCAGCGAGGCAGCCGTCCGCCACCACATGCTGGACGATATCCGGCGGATCCACCGGGAGAACCCGGACCGGTTCCCGGGGACGAGCGAGCCGGCGTTCGTGGCCTTCGCGGCCCATGCGCCGTATAACCTGCAGGTGTCGGGGGAGGACATCAAGAATGGGTTCTATGAGGGGCTGTATGCGCTGCAGGGCGAGATGAATACGTTTTGGACCGGGTCGGCGTGGGCGGCGGATATTAGTGGTGATATTTGGAAGGTTTCGAGGGGGGTGGTCTTGCCGATGCTGGTGGGGGAGTTGTGAGGGTGGGGTTGTCCTTCGTTGCTTGTGTAGTATCTGTATGCAGACGGAGTAGGAAGAGTGTATGTAGCGTCGAGGCATGATTACAACTTCGCTCTTCAGTATCACTGGGGCGTTCTGTCAGCCTGTAGCTCAGGCCCCCTGGCCAATTTCTCCAAAGCGTCCATCTCAAATCTCTGGTCATGGCAAGGATATCAAGCTGGTAGTCTAGACCGAGGAGCTCAATCCGCTAGACCGCCTGGGCTGACGCTTCATTGGGAAAGGATAACGTGAGGTGTTGGCATTGAATGGGCTTGTTTATGCTTGATATTCATTCTAAGCCGAGAGCGGATGACTGGTTAACTCGTGTTATATCTAATTTTCTCCCCATAATTAACTAGGACAACCTCATCGAAGGCACCAGAGAACACGCCTTAGCTGCTGGCAGCCCGGCATTAGGCTACTTTGCCGTCGTTGATCGCGACGGCGAACCTGGAACGTTGGCGGATGCGGCCGCCGTACGTGGACAAGAGGAACGGCGCGGGAAGACAGACCAGCGACAGGAAGGCCGGGACACTGCTTGCCCAGTGGATGCCGATGCCGTCGTACATAGCGGTGGTGAATAGGGGGAATGCGGCGCCGCACAGTGAGCGCAGGACCGTCGCCGCCGCCAGCGCCGAGGCTGCATAGCTCACATAGCTGTCGACGAGGTAGTTGACCAACGCCAACGAGACGCAGATGTTCCCGAATCCGAAACACGCGGTGCCCAGCATACAGACCACCCAGGGCACCGAGGGAGCGTTAGTCCAGGCGAACAGGAAGAGACCCACGGGCAGCAACACCGCCCCGACCTTGCCGGAGGGCAGACGCGCTTCGGGGGGCAACCGGCCGCTCTCGGACATTCGGCACCGCCGTGCGTACTGGCGATTGATGATGACCATGAACGCGGTGGCGCACAGCATGCCGATCGCAATGGGGAGAAATGCGAGGCCGCCCACTCCCGGGCTCCATCCGCGGACGCGCTGGAAGACAATGGGTAGGGCCGCGAGCAGCAGGTAGGTGGTGCCGTAGATAAAGGACATGTAGGCGGCAAGGACCATGACGATCGGCTCGCGGACGAGGAGTCGAGCAGGACGGGTCATGGAAATGCGACATCTTTCCGCCAGCGATCCGGGAGGGTTCCGGTGGTCGACGCTCGTGATGTAGAATCTGCCTGTCTGTCTGGTGAGCGCGGCAGCCCGTCGCCGGAGCACCACATCCCCGACGGTCTCGGGCACCAACAGAAGCCCCAGCACGAGCATCACTCCGGCGTAGATGGCGAGCAATCCCTCAATGGACCTCCACCCTCGTGTCTCGCCAAGGAACCCGCCCACGATCGGCCCCAGGACCGGCCCGAGAAATGTTGCCCCCGAGTAGCAGACCGCCGCCAGGCCTCTCGTTTCCGGACTGTAGAGGTCGGCTACAATGCCGCCGGAGTTGGTGAGAGGTGAGCTGCCGAACATGCCGGCCAGACAGCGGAATGCAACCAACGAGCCGAAGTTCGGCGCGACGGCTGCTGCGACGTTGAAGACGGTGAAGAGGCTGAAGGTGGTTAAGAACAAGACCCTCCTGCCAAACGCTTCCCCCAAGGGTGCCCACAGCAATGGTCCGATGGCGAACCCGAGGACATACAACGACAGCCCCAGCGTGGCAGCCTCGTTGGAGACGCTGAAGTATTCGCAAACGGAGGATAGGTCTCCCGAGTAGGCACTGGACGCAAAGGCAACGGAGAGCGTTGAGAGCCCTGACAGAACTATGATGATGGCCTTGCGGGGGGCGGCGAAGTTCCGCGCATTCAATCGGTCGGTCGGGGGCCACGATATGATCTGTGGATTCTCACGAGTGCCATCCCCGGGCCAGTCGTGTGCAACATCTCCAGCAATTTTGCGGTCATCGCTGGTGCCTAGCAAGAGAAAACACCCGATGGCATACAGCATCCTAGGCTTCTTGTGTGGATAGTGCATCGAGTTTGGTATAACCCTTGGTAGACCCTGGGGATTGCAAGGTATGCTCACAGCAGAGTGTGCAATGACGGGGAACGAGGATGGGGGAGCAAAAGCCAGGGGCTGGTCTGCATTCTCATCTTTTTACTTGACGAGCTGTGTCAAGTCGAGAGACGGAGAATCACGCAGACTGACTGACCCACGGTTTGTTCGGCAATCTCGAGCGAACTGAGGCCAACAGCTTCGATCGTCAATCTATCTCTTAGCACTTGTCATCCTATGAAATCATGCCCGGTATTAGGAGTTAGCAGATCAAGCACCGATACGCGTGGTAAGCTTTTCCAAACTTTTCTAGCCCATTTGCCGCCATTCATGCTGAACTTGGTTCATCCCCGGCCGGGGCCGTTGAGTGCCGTTTTGGGCTAGTCCCGTAAGCGATCAGACCCGAACCCTAGCTGGTGTCAATCAATCCATGATTCCCATCGGGTCAAGAAGGAAAAAAACAACAAAAGATCAGAAGGGGAGAGATTCCATTATTCACCCGTCTGCAGTAGGAGGCAAACGACCGAAGAAAGTCCTGTCCAGAACCCCTTCCTTGGTGGAGTATTTAAGGTACTGTACGGTGCCTCGGATCAAACACTTCAGATACATTCGCCTTGGAGTCAAGTTACCCGCCTTACCAGCGACCTGAGGGTTGTGACTGAGTGTGACTATAGATCATGACTTCCTCACTTTCAAACCAAAGTACTACCATCGCTGCTCCAGGCTCGGGTGCATCGAGCGAGCCATCATCTGCGATGGCCTCTGATCCAAAACCCAGGACCCAGGACCCGCCCAATGGTGGCTGTCGGGCATGGCTCCAGGTGGTTGGGTCTTTCTTTCTGTTCTTCAATACGTGGTAGGTGCTACTTCTGCTTGGTCCATCGTTGGAAGCACGACTGATCCATCGCCAGGGGTCTGATCAACTCCTATGGAGTTTTCGAGACGTTCTACGAAGAGACGTTGCTCCAGGGAACTCCTTCGTCGACCATTTCCTGGATCGGCTCGCTGCAGTCCTTCTTGATCATGTTCCTTGGCGTCTTGACCGGACCCATTTACGACGCTGGGTTCGTCATACCCTTGCTGTATATTGGCTCGTTCCTCGTCGTCTTCGGCCACATGATGCTTAGTCTATGCCACAGCTTCTGGCAGGTTCTCCTCGCGCAGTCATTCTGCGTGGGCATTGGGGCCGGCCTGATCTTCGTCCCCAGCATTGCGATTCTCTCGACCTATTTTACCACCAAACTGCCCCTAGTCATTGGCATCGCCGCCTCCGGGTCGAGCATCGGCGGCGTGATCTATCCGATTCTGATCCGCGAGCTGCTGGGCCGACTGGGATTTGGCTGGACGATCCGCGTTGCGGGCTTCGTGGCCCTCTTCGGCCTGGGCATCTCCTGCGCTGTGCTCCGGGTCCGCGTTCTGCCCGCCAGTCGCCGGAAATTGATCGACTGGCCCGCGTTCCGCGAGGCCCCGTACACTCTGTTTGTCCTCGGGCTCTTCCTCTGCTTCATGGGTCTCTATACCCCGTTCTACTACATCCAATCCGTGGCGATCCAGTACCATATCACCTCGGAACACCTGGCGTTCTACCTGGTGCCGATCATGAATGCCACATCGACCCTGGGACGTCTGGCCCCGGGATATCTGTCCCAGTGGATCGGGTCGCTGAATATCTTGATTCTCTGTGCGTTGAGTTCCGGTCTTCTGGTCCTGTGCATCATCGCCGTGCAGACGCAGGGGTCTCTGCTGGCCATCTGCGCCTTGTATGGGTTCTTCTCGGGGTCCCTGGTCTCGCTCATGGGCCCGATCCTTGTCATGCTGTCCCCTCACCGTGGAGTGACCGGGACCCGGATGGGGATGTGTTTCACGCTGCTGGGCGTGGCGCTGTTGATCGGGACTCCCATCGCCGGCTCAATCCTGGGTTCTCATGGTGCGAATATGGTCTGGGTGTATAGCGGCGTTCTGACGCTCTCGGGGGGAGCGACGGTCGGGGCTGCTCGGACGAGGTTGACCGCCGGGAGGCCGGGAATAGGGACAAAGGTTTAAATTTGAATCTCACATGATAGCTAGATATAAGAGGGTTGGTAAACCCTCTCGCACCACATTGAATTTGAGTTGAGTAGAAAATGCAGTTGAGCCAAGTACGTCTGGACCCATTTGAACACTGTGGTGGATAGTTGCCACCAGCCTCCGTAACAAACATGTATAACTTCCCATGGAGTGTTGTGTTGTGTTGAGAGACTCTTGGTTTTGATCATAACAAAAGAAGAACACTTTTCAGTATCTTCGGTACACTTTGAGGATTCACCGCCGCATGGACAGAAAGTAGCTTTATATTGGGTAATTGGGTTTCTAGGTTGCTGTAGGGGGAAAGTGCTGTGCAACGCTGCTCTGCGGAGAAATTGGGGCAAATCCTCAGGCGTCGAGAGGCTTCTAGCCGTAACCCCGTTAACCCGATGGGGCTAGCGGCGTAAGCAGAACAGAAGCTGGACCATGGAAGGATTGCTGCCTTACTGCCTTACTGCCTTACTACCCCACTGCCCCCGCATCAAGGCATCATCGACAGCAGTTCTGCCCGTCCCCTCCGTCTGGCCAGCATCTCTTCTTCTCTTGAACCCCCTTCCCTCCCCCTCTCCCTCTCCCTCTCCCTTTCCCTTCCCCTCCTTGCTTGAGGTCAACCCCCATCATCCATCTCCTATCTTCAATACACCACAAACCAGCGTTTCACAACTCACTTACTAATAATAAGCAACGCCAAATAAAGAGGGAAAAAAAAAAAGAAAAGAAAAGAAAAACGCGAAAAAGAAAAGAAACAATAAAAAAAAAAAAAAAAAAAAAGCAGAAGGGCGGAAAATCTCTAACCAAACTAACAATGACAGACTCTAACGCTGTTGACTTGCTCCACCTAGATATGAGGGCTGAGAGACGTAAAATACAGAATCGCGTGAATCAACGCACCTATCGTAGGCCCTCCCCCCCTCTCCCGGTGGCTCGCTTCAGTCCGTGTTTTCTTAACCATACTATTGTTAGGCATGAGGCAGAGTGTGCAGAAGAGCGAATCCGCGCGACCTCGGCGTTGGAAAGTCATCGGCTCGCTAAGCAGTCACCATCCCGCTCCCATCACAGGGGACGGTGGCGCAATGCAGGCCAGCAGTACTCTCCCTCCTCCTCCTCCTCTCTCCTTCTCTCATAGTTCCGATCATGCCCTCTACCAAACTAGGGAATTCCAGCGGGATGCCATTGTTTGCCGCCTGGCGCCCCCCCACGGCGGAGAACGGGCCCGCCAATTCGAGCTGGCTGCGTACCGGCATTACATGCAGGGGACTCCCCAGGTCGACCAGCTGCTCACTCTGGTCAAACTGAATGTCTACCGTGCATTGGCCGCCAACCTGAACGCCCTCGGGATGACGGACATCAGGGGGTGGATGCACCCGGATGCCACGTCGGCCTTTGCCACCCTGCAGCCGAGCGCCGCCGCCCTCGACCGCGCCCTGCCCAAGCATCTCCAGCCGACCGCCATCCAGCGGGCGGTGCCACACCACCCCTGGCTGGACTTCTTCCCGCATCCCCGGATGCGCGACCGGCTGATCGTGGCCGGGGATCAGTTCGACGACGAAGAACTGTGCGTGGACATCATGGGCTTCTGGACCGCCGGGAAGGAGGACCCGGCGCTGATCGTCTGGGGCCCGCCGTGGGACATCGCCAATTGGGAGATGTCGGACGCCTTCGTCCGCAAATGGGGATGGACGGTCAAGGACTGCCCGGACCTGTTCCGGGCGACCAATACATGGAGGGCCCTACGCGGGGACAAGCGGCTCTGCAGCCGGTGACATTCTTCGTTGCTTTTTGCTGATCTTGCCGAGTGCCAAATGATGCGTTTCATGGCCGTTTCCCACATCGGTCAGAGCTCGTCACAACCAGCGTATTGAGATGGGTTACCGTGGTCTAGCATTGAGACACAACACAAACACAATCATTTCACTCTCTGTGGCGTTCAGTTTACTAATACATAACGATATCGCGCCCGTCCATGGTCCATATCCAAAATCACCTGGTTAGCCTCCTTCATCGGCCGTTCCTCGATCCACGGCCGTACACCTTTAGCCTCTGCCAAAGCAAGCATCTCGCGGATCTCGCCCGGGCTTCCGATCTTCGACCCGCAGAGTCGCAGCCCGCTCCCGATCAATGCCCCGGCGGCGATGGTGAACGGACCGTCCTCCGGGTTACCAACCTGCACGAACGCACCATTGGGTCGCAAAAGCTTGAGGTAATCCGCCAGGGGGAGCGTGTTGGAGGAGACGGTGGAGATGATGAGGTCCAGGGAGCCGGCGTGGTGGGCCGCCGCCGACCAGTCGGGCTCCTCGGCCGTGGCGACGTAGACGTCGGCCCCGAGGGCGCGGGCATCGTCGCGCTTCGTCGCCCGGCGGGAGAAGGCGGCGACCCAGTCGGCGCCGAGCGCCCGCGCAAAGAGGATGGCGAAATGGCCCAGCCCGCCGACGCCGATGACGCCGACCCGGCGCCCGGGCCCGCAGCCGTACTGCTTGAGGGGCGCATACACCGTCGCGCCCGCGCACAGCATCGGCGCCGCCGCCGCGGACGGAATGCCGTCGGGGATCCGGATCGCGAAGTGCGCCGGCACGCGGTGGAAGGTCGCGTAGCCCCCGTACGAGAGGCTGCCGTCCAGGTAGCGGCCCGCGTACGTGCCCGTCCACAGCCGCGTGCAGTACTTCTCATTCCCCGTGCTGCACTCGACGCAGTGGCCGTCCCCCACGCGCCCGCGGCACGAGTCGCTCTGGGGGCCCACGCCCACGCGCGCGCCAATCGCCAGCCCCTGCGCCGGCGGCACTTGCGCTCCCACGCGGACGACGATCCCCACGATCTCGTGGCCCACGCAGCACGGATACGGGGTCGGACGCTATGTGTTTGAGAGAAAAGGAGTCAACGACGGGGTCTAATTCCGACAGGTGGGGACAAACCTACCCAGCCGCTGCGCAAGACACAGAGGTCGGACGCGCAGACGCCGCAGTGAGTGACGCGGATGTCGACGTCTGTTTCCTCCCAGGGCTTTGGCTGGAACTCCCGCCATACCAGTTGCCCTTGGGCGGCGTTCGGGTCCAGGCCCATCCACCCTTCGAATTTGGGAGCGGTGTCCGTCATCGTAAGTGTTTTGAGGAAGATGTAGGTGACTCAGGGAAAGGGGGGATATGAAAGACTGTATTTGAAGTCGAGGTCTTCGATCTGGGAGGAGCATTAGGTCGTTTTATATGAGGCGCGGGGGGGGGGGGGGGGGGGGGGGGGGTAAAATCAATCACCCATGGTAGAAAGCAATGAAAAAGGTTCAGTCGGAATTGTTTACGTTATTGTCAGCATCATTGTTCCGATTCTGTAATTCACTGCCGAGTTTGTCCACGTCCTCGAAGTACATTTAGCTACTGGGTAAGCTGTCTGGGTCTTCGCCCTCAATGGGTTAGCCTGTCAGCGTGCGGGAAGTCAGACCCGCTCGCTCGCTCATGCTCCAAGGCGGTGCTGACATCATTCACCTCATGGATAGCGGGCTCGTTGTTCGTTTCATACCAATCCCTGGTGGATGGAGTTAGGGCAGTTGTTACCCCCTATATCCGACTTCAATTCCAAAAAGGTCCGGTTCTTGTGGCGGCAGCGACGCAGAAGATTGAATGAGTCTCAGGCGCAAGTCATCCCCATTCCGCCTCTAGTATGCACACGTACTGTACTCGTGCAACACGTCATCGTCACCATCAATACGACGAGCAAGCACGGTAGTTTTCGCTGTGACTCACTGGCAAGCAAAACTCAGTGGGGCTGAAGACTTCCCTCAGAGACGAAGGGACAATTGAATCAGACTCAAAGTCAAATATCTAGAGTTACTCTATCTGAGCTGGCTATTGTATTCGAGATATCCATGGTGCCGACCAGTCAAGGGGCATACTTTTGGAGAGGGGGCCCAAACTACGGCCTCTACTAATCAAGATACTACTGCGAAGGAGGCAAGAAGCAAGCAACAAGCGAAATCCATTTCAAGTCATCGACGATGCCAGGTCCTTTTTACAGGGTGAAGCAATTCACCTGACGGGGCGTAACCTCCCTCCAGAGCTGAACGGCTACTCGCTTAGAGCGACCGTATCGACGTAAAGATACGGCATCATACTGCTCGGATGACGGTCGCCTTGCACCTCAGCGGCCTGAATCACCGCATTGATCTCTTCCAAGTCCTTCGGGCTCAATTGAACATCCAAGCTCCCCACGTTCTCTTCCAAGTTCCGAATCCTCGTCGTCCCCGGGATGGGAACGACCATTTTCACCGAAGCGCCAAGCCACGCCAGGCTCAGCTGGCCGACGGTGCACTTCTTCCGCGCCGCCAGCGCCTGCAGCCGGTCGACCAGCGCCAGGTTCTTCGGGAAGTTCTCCGCCGAGAACCGTGGCAGGATGCGGCGACGGTCGGTCGCGTCGAAATCGTCGGGGCTGCGGATCTTCCCCGTGAGGAACCCGCGGCTGAAGGGCGAGTAGGGCACGACCGCGACCCCGAGCTCCTCGCAGGCGTGCAGAAGGCCGTTGTGGAAGGCGTCCACCGCGAAGGGCGAGACCTCCACCTGCACCGCGGCGACGGGGTGGACGCGGTGCGCGCGCCGCAGCGTCGCCGCGGAGCACTCGCTCAGCCCCAGGTACTTGACCAGCCCGTCGTCGACGAGCTGCTTCATCGCGCGCATCGTCACTTCAATCGGCTGCTCCGGGTCGATGCGGTGGCAGTAGTAGAGATCGATCGCATCGCCGTCGGCGAGACCCAGCCGGGCGCGGCTGCGCAGGCACGCCTCGCGCACGTACCCCGGCTCATTGTGGATGCTGGACGGGAGTCCCGGTCGCTGTTGGATGCCGAACTTGGTGGCCAGGAAGATATCCTGCCGCCTGCCGCTTCGTTGGAACCAGCTTTGGGTCGCTCACGTGGTTAGCAGGGTTTCTGTGGAAGATGGGGCGGAGAGGGGTTTCTCTTTTCTTGGTCCTCGTTCAACACCGCTGGCTGTACTGTACCTACCGCGCGAGAATGTCTTCATTGTCGGCGTACACGTCCGCCGTGTCCCAGAAGGTGACCCCCTGAGCATGCGCCTCGTCGAGAAACCGTAGCCGTTCCTCATCGGGCATCGGGACTCCGTAGAACATGGAAAGGCCCATGAGGCCAAGACCTACAATCATGCGTTCAGTCTTGTGCGGGAATGCAGATTAAGGAGTTTACCGGTAACTGCTCACCTTGCGCGGACACCAGCGGGCCATTTGCGCCGAGTTGGATAGCGGGAAGCATTGTCGGGTTGGAGGAGGTCGTAGACATCACTGCTACTGTACAGAATAATGACAATCATGAGACAAGTGAAACCGCGCGCCAGCAGAGAGATTTAAAGTCTTATAGATACGTCCATGCACGTCAGCTGACCCTGGGATGCTCTATGGATTCAGCTTCAGGATCTTCTAGCCCTACATCCGAAAATGGCTAGTCACATAAGCATCTGTGATGTGATCCCGTGGGTTCCAGAAGTCCTCAAACTATGGACCCACTACACTTTGATTTGGATTGATGACCAGCGGCAGTGTATCGCAGCTACGGCAGGCTACATGTGCAAATTTGTAATAGCCCTATATTCTATAATATTTTCATGATATTATAGTCTTACTGCTCAACAGACTGCCTTTTTCTCTAACTGACCTAATATAAAAATTATATATAAGATTTTCTAATAAAGAACCCTAACATAACAATACCTTCGGCTTAAAATATTCTAAGACTCTAATAGTCCTAAGAATCCTAATATAACTTATAGTTGTATGATTTTGCTGAGGCCAAGCGGGCTTAAAAAGCTAATATAGTACTGCTAGTAGAATTCGAGTTATTGCAAATTGGCACGAGTAGCCCACCATATCAGCACCCCGGCGTCGGGCTTCTCCAAAACACTACCTCCGGGTGGTTACGGTGGGCCACACCATGGTCAACTGACGAGAGGGGTTGGTTACAACTCTAGCCTAGAAAGTAAAGCACCTGATGTCTTCCATGCTTTTCAACCTGGACCCACCCAATTGACTCCAATCCACGCATAGGAGTACTGTAAGCAGGCAGCATGACCATGCACAATCACGTCTCCAGGGGCAGAGTGTGACACCCAGATACTCACCCTCTTCAACCATCCTTCTGGCATAATCGGCGTATTCATATTGTTATGAAGATCTTATGTTTGACATGCCTATGAGATCCAATCTGTACTCCCTGATCCACTCAGTCCGTGGGCAGCGCTCACCAATGTTTTCCAATGCCTCTCGATCACACCTGCGCACCCCTTTTCCCGCGACCATACGCATCATTTCCATACCAGCCAACCCATCTACTCGAACCACCGATCGACCATCCACCACTTCCACCCCCACTTCCTTTTGTTGAGTCCATCCCCAACCACCCGCTCATACTCATCCACCTCCGCCCGTAACCCGCCAACCCCCAAATCCGCCCTCTCGGGCCGCACCCACCCCGTCCGTCTAAACACCTTCCACCCAGCCCCCAACCCCACAAACACCGCAATCATCGCATAATCCAACACAAAAGTCTCGGTACTCCACCGCCCGTCCAGAAACACCTCCCACCCCAGCACCAACACCATCACCCCGGTCCCGAAGACAGCAAACCACCCCGCATACGGCTGGAGATACCCTCGGAACGGGAGCGTGGCCCGATCCACGCCCTGCGCTTTCAAGGCAGCATAGAAATGCAGATACGTGACACACGTGCCCAGGTAGTTCAGGAGATAGGATGCGGTGATGACGCTGACCAGCCAGTTCAGGACGGTGGCGGAGGCGTGTTGCACCTGGAGGAAGGCGAGGCAGCAGAAGGCCATGGTTAGGGCTATCGCGTAGATCGGGAGGCCGCGGGCCGTGCATCGCCCCAGAATGGCGGGGGCTTTGCCGGTCAGGGCCAGCCCGTGCAGCGTGCGCGAGGCCGAGTAGACGAGGTTGTTGCCGGCGGAGAGGACGGAGGTTAGGATGAGGAGGTTCACGATGTGGGGGAGGACGGGGATCGAGAGGTTGTTCATGGAGATCACGTAGGGGGATCTTTTGGGGTCTGGGTTAGTGATGGTGCGTGATGGGGGGAAGGGAGAGGGGAGGGAGGCTCACGCTGCGCCGGTTCCGCTCCCCTTGCGTGTTCCTGCGATCGTCGCGGCCAGGGTCGGGTCGTTGTACGGCAGCACGATCCCCATGCATACGGCGCCGGCGATGAAGAAGACCATCAGGCGCCAGACGAAGGAGGCGAAAGCCCGATGCATCACCACCCGTGGCCGTTCAGCTTCTGCGGCGGTCATTGAGATGTATTCGGGTCCGACCATGCTGGGACTCGGTTAGAATGTCCTAGCGAGGATCAGGCTGGGCAGGGTTACGTGAACGACGCCTGGATCATGCATGCGAGGACGCCGCAGAAGCGACCGGTGTTTCCGGCGGCGAGGTATGAGACGAAGGCACCCTGGTATGGTGTGAGTGACTAGTAGGTGGTGGGTGTTGTTGGGGTTGGGCTCACTGGGTCCTTCCAGTAGCGGAAGCCGTATGCATCGTGATGAGGATTCCCTCCGACCATGGTTACGAAGGTGTAGCAGATCAACCCTATCATCAAGATAATCTTGCAGATGGAGAGATAGAACTCAGCCACTCCGAAGTATCGGACGGTCAAAACATTGAGGATGCTGCGAGTGTTAGCCCTCGCTATCAGACAGACGGGGATGCTGTACCCATATATCACCATGACTATGACAACGACTGCCGCCACAGGAATGCGATCCGTCCAATACGTGAGAAGTACATTGATTGCGACAATCTCGTATGGAATCCCGAGAGCTAGGTCACTGTCAGCCGCCGAATCCACTATCTGCAAAATACTCACCCATCGTGAGGAAGAAGTTCCACCCCATGGCAAAGCCTAGGGCATCGTCGACCCAGTGACCTGCCAGCTGAACAAACGGCGACGGTATGGGCAGATAACACACCATTTCCGCTGGCAATAAGCAATTAGTCACAATCCGCTTTCTGCTAGCGTGTGCCTCACCAAAACATTGATTCACAGCGAGAATAATTGTGCCATATGCCGCAAACCCCAGCAGCAGGCCTGCTGGTCCCCCTTTCGGCAGTACAGCGCCCATCTGCACAAACAAGGCTATCCTCGTAAGTATCACTACAACTCATCAACTGATTCGGAGACTTACAGGTCCCGATAGCGCCGCCCACCGCGAGAAGTTGCACCTCTCTACCCCGCAGCTTGCGGTGCAGATGCTGCGACCCCGCGGACAGCACGCGGGCCTCCTCGACCACTGTATCGGGAATTTTTGTCGTTGTCGATTCCATCCGGGACTGGTCTTGCATTGCGATCTGCATTTGTGTGACATTTTACACGAGACTTGCGTTGTGGACATTTATATCTGCTTTCCCCCCCTGTAAGCGCGATGGTGGGGTGCGATAGCGGGGTTCGGCCTATGAGCAGGGATGCGGTGGTCGACGTGCAGATGCTGTCTTGGTATGACTTCACTTATCGCCTCCAGTTGACGGTATAGTTGAATTGATGGAATATAATGCAGTTCTAGTGACAAATCGCTATAACATCATGATAACAGGACCAGCCTGCTCTCCGACACCCCTCTATTCATCATCCCCGAATGGCATCGCCACCCATTCCGCCTCCTCGACCGGCGGTTCCTCACTCTCACATCTTGAACACCGACACACAAATCGAAACAGCGTCTGCAGACGCTCTCGTCGAGTCTGGAGGTCCGTGAATTGTGTCAGGTCGAAATAAGAGATACAGCATTCTTCCCCAGCAGCGATGTCCTTGGCCGCCGTGAATATCATCCGACCGTGCTGGTCGGGTTTATGCGTCATCTACGGTCAGATCAGCAGCTGTGCAGGTGTTCCTATCCAGAAGAACTCACATTCGGTCCGCAGGAGTGGTTCGCGATGGCCGCACGAGGATACACCGCCGCGCCGAACTGCTCGCCCCGGTCGAGGGCATCCGGCGGCACGGGGTACAGCCCCGTCTCGCGCGGGTACAGGCCAAACGAGTTGGCCTCTTCCTGACAGATGAGCTTGAGCACCTCCCTGTCCGGCAGGTGGTGCGGTAGCACCGGCCCATGGCGCAGGTACTTCTTGACGAGCGCCGTCCACGCGCGCACCTGCGCATGCGACCACGAGTCCTCCGAGCCGCAAAAGGACCGCATCGCCTGCCAGCCTTGGGCGAACCCGGGGCCAGAAGCCACCTGCTCATCCGTCGTTGTCGTCGTCGTCGTCGTCGACTTCTTTTCCTCAGACAATTCAACGTGTCGCGCGGCAAGGATCCGCACAATCAACCACAGCATCCCGAACTCATACTCGCCCCGCTTCTCGCGGATGGAGGGAGCGAACCGCTTGAGCCAGGTGCACTCGAACGCATGGCGGGCGTGGTCTGTGGCCTGGCAGGCGGCACTGCACCACATCACATCCCCCAGACAGCCCTGCGGACACGCGAGACGTTCCGCACGGCACGCCATCCGCCGACTGCACGGGGGGTGACTGCACAGCAGCGCCTCGCTCGTCCGGGGGTCATCGACCGCGGGGATCACCGCGTAGGGCATGTCGACCAGCACCACCTCGCCCCGCGGGATGGGCTGGGCCGCCCGCAGCTGCCGGCCCTTGTAGGGGTCGACCCCTTGCTCGAGATGGGGGTGGATCCACGCCGTTGACGTGGTCTCTGCAACAGCAGATTTGGTCACTGCTGCCGGTTCTAAGGGTATATGCTGCTCTGGGGGCTGTAGTAGTGGCATTTTGGAGCTGGATTGTTGCGTGTGGGCACCAGATCTGTCTACCAGGTGTTCCAAGTTGGATCCCCCAATTCTTGTGGAAAATTTGACCCAACTTTTTTTCTCCGGGGATTACACTATCACTACCTACCTATCGCATCTCTTATCGTCTGCAGAAGTGTGGGTCTTGCGTGCGCTGGGGTCTTCTGGACCAATTGTTCGGGCATGATGCGGTGGATGGGCCAATGGAGTTGCGGCAAGATGTGATGGGTCTTATCGGCGGATCGCGTGGCAAAGCTTGCCCTTTTTTTGCGATTCCATCGACTCTTCATTTCTCCGCTGGAACAGAATCTGGGGCTATCCTGCGGGTATTGCGGAAGATCACTCGAGGTCGGAACTCATGCAATTTGCCCATGTTATTGACTTCAGTCTTTGGTTTGCGCTTGGGCTGCCATTGGGCTGATGGATGCGGAATTTGAGCGACGGATCCAAGGCCCAGGGCATGCATGTCCATCAGTAGCTTGGTGGCCCCACGACTTGACACGCTCGATACCATCTTGAATTGATTATACAACGGTTGCAATCGCTAATCTACTGCTGAAAGTGATCACTTAGGAGCCTCTGAGTCGGTATATAAACCAGGTTCTGTGCGGTGCTTGGTCAACTGAACGAGGGACTTGTGAGATGCATAATTAGTAATCAGCTTGCGTGGATGCATGATATGGGCATAAGATCTGCTGTTGTCTCGAGTGAAGGATCTCGCAAGACTACATCATGAACAAGATTGTATACCTTCCTGTAGCCGGATGTTATTGTGAGATTTCTATCTAAGAGCGCCAGGCACTTCCTCACACATAACCCTTTCTTTATATACAACCAATCGACTAAAGAACATTGAAGCAAGTACAACAAGAGACAGATTAAATCAACTTGAGCGAAAAACCCATAATCATCATTGACTAACAGCAGCGGCGGCGACGAGCGCATCACACGCGGAGCTCTGCGTCGAGGCATCAGCGCCCGCAAACGGGCCCGACCAAGTCCCCCCCAGCGCATCGCCATCGCCCCGGTCCTTCTCCCAGATACTATCCGCATTCTTCAGCAGGAAGCTGCGGATCTGCTCACTGGGCGCCGCCTTGTACAGCGCCGCCAGATTGCGCATGAACACGCCCTTGAACTGGGGCGCGTCTCCGGTGCAATTCGGCTCGCACGGCTCGGTCAGCACGCCGTCCGCGTTGGCGAGCGCGCTCATCGCCGCGCCCGCGATCTGCTGCGCCGTGGAGACATACGACGCGTCCCCGAACAGCTGGGCCATCTCGACGAGCGCCCCCAGAATCACCCCCTGGTTGTAGGTCCACACCGTGCCGCCGTCGTTGCGGCAGCTGCCCAGATGCAGCCCGTTGTTGATCGTGTGCTGGTCGTTGATCAGCCCGCTGCGCGCGAACCAGCCCCAGCTCTGCGCCGCCCACTCCTTATAGTACCCCGCCTGCGCGGGCATCCGCCGCCCCAGGTGCGACGCCACGCTGAGGAACAGCTCGTTCTCGATCGCCCCGTTCTGCGTGTGCGATTTGTCCCACCACAGGCCGCCGCACGTCGCGTTCCAGCCCGTCGTCATGTCGGCGAAGATGCTCGCCGCCGTGCTCAGATAGCGCGTCTCCTGTGTGAGGTCGTACACCGCGATCCAGGCCAGCGCCCACCAGGCTTCGTCGTCGTAGTAGTCGTTGATGAAGCCGGGGTAGGCGCGGCGCGTGAGGCGGTGGGTGTTGCTGCGGCTGGCGTGGGCGCGGGCGTGGGCCTCGCGCTTCACGGCGCGCGCGGCGGTTGACCCCTGCGCCCGCGTGAGGGTGTTGGCGAAGACGGCGGCGTTCGCGCCCAGCTGGCTCGCGTTCAGCGCGGTCAGGTCCGCCAGCACCGTCAGGCAGTTGGCGCTGTTCCACCAGCCGGTCGTGTCCCACAGCCCCGTGCTCGGGTTGTACCATTTCTGCAGGGTCGTCACCGCCGCTTTGGCGTGGGAGAGGTAGTCGGTGGCCGCGAGGGCGCCCTGGAGGCAGAGCAGGGATGTGAGCGAGGATTTGACGATCATCGTAGCTTCGATTTAATACTCAATGACAAGGTGAGTTGTAATACTGGGTAAGTCAACAACCAGCAGGGGTGTGCAGGGTCTGCAGGGTATTTAGCATTGTTGTGGCCCGGGCGAACGGTCCTTTGTCCCCGGCACGAATACCGCCCGCCAACATGTGTCTTTGTTGCTGGATGAGTCGCAGGCGCATGATTGGGCTGTGCTTGTTTTTGAAACACTTCTTTGGCCAGAAAAAGTGCTGCGGTTTTGGGGGCCGGATGGGCCCAAAACTGGGGGATGTACGGTGATTGGGAGGAATCCGCTGGGCTTCATTTCTTAGTGCGACGACGATCTTCTGCACTGCCCGCCGTGTCTGCCCCCTTAATATGGGATTAGTGTGTTCCAAGGGTCCAGGACTACATTTGTTAGGCATAATCAAAGGACCCTGATTTGGACATAATCCCCAGGATTCGAAGGATCAAGGGTTTCTGGATCAAGGGTTTCTGGGCGTTGGGGCTAGGGTCGGTTTGTGGTTGTTGGCTGCTCCCTTGCCGAAATGGGCTGCCAGCCCTAATTTGAGCACTTCCTGCAGACCCTGCTCGAAGCATTCTTCGCGACGGACATCTTGACACACGTCAGACGTGCAAGCAGAGTTCTACTGTGATATTGTTAGCCGGTGAAAGCAGGATAGAAATGCTCCATTCCTTGGCTCGTACCTTCGCGTTGACATCCACAAAGTACTACAAGAATCTTATGTGGAGCGAGTTCCTGTAGTGAGTGAGTCGAACGAGCGATTAGGGTCATAAAGTCGAGTCGGACAGAAGGATGCTAGCTGTCACAGCTGTTCTCGATCTCTGCTCTGCCAGTGATCTGGACATTCTCACCAAGTCAAGGCGACAGGCGATGTTACCTGGGTCTCTCTCTCCCTCTGCATGAAGTCCATGTCCAGTGTAAGTCTTGCCAATTGACATTAATATTGAAAAGAAAAGCTTAAAAGCCCGCGGTTCTGCTTATTGTCTGCCAGCCAATCCACTGATCGAGAATCTTCTTCGTCGGCCTCTTGGCTGTTTTCTCCGACCGAGGTGAAGAAGCCCGTCGAAATGGGAGGGAGCTGAATCATCTCGGCCTTGAGCTTCACCCCGAGGTTTCGTAATGAGGTCACCACCCCTGCTGCACGACCCAATCCCGCGTATTTTTCTTTTCTTTGTCTTCTGTCGTCCTCACCTCTGTTGCAATTGCTGCTCTGATTCCAAAGCTAGCTTTGTAATTATTCTGTACTGAAAAAGGACAAGTTCTGTTTCCTCTGCTGAAGCCGCCTCCGGAAGACATATAACTACTGCGCGATTTCACGTACCCGACAGTGAGAGCCAAATCTCAACGCTCGATCTCATGGCAGCGATCCTAGTGACCGGTGCGACCGGCAAGCAAGGCAGCGCGCTCATCAAAAATCTCGTCGCCAAAAATGCACCCTACGAGATCCTCGCCGTGACGCGAAACTCCAATTCCGGGGTCGCCCACCAACTGCGCCAACTGTCGTCCCAGATCAAACTCGTTGAGGGCAATCTCGACAACCCCGCGGGGATCTTTGACAATGCGCACAAAGCCACCAAGTCCCCGATTTGGGGGGTCTACAGTGTCCAGGTACGCTCACGTACTCCTCACCCCGTGATAGGCCCCAGTCGCGCGCTGACCAGACACGTTAGGTGGCAATTGGGAACGGCTCCCAGGAAGAGCCCCAGGGCAAAGCCCTCGTCGACGAAGCCCTGAAGCAGAACGTCAAGTTCTTCGTGTACAGCTCGGTCGACCGTGGCGGCGAGGCCTCGTCCACCACGCCGACCAAGATCCCCCACTTCCAGCACAAACACAACATCGAGCGGTACCTGGTCGACAAATCCCAGGACACCGAGATGAAGTGGTTCATCCTGCGCCCGACGGCGTTCTTCGAAAACCTGGTGCCGGGCTTCTTCGGCAAGGTCTTTGCCACCTGCTTCAAGATGGCGCTCAAGGGCAAGCCGCTGCAGATGGTGGCCACCAGCGATATCGGCTACTTTGGCGCCGAGGGCTTCCTGCACCCGGAGGCCTGGGCGGGCAAGGCGCTCTCCCTGGCCGGCGACGAGATCACCTACGACCAGATGGTCGAGATCTTCGAGCGAAAGACGGGGCAGCCCATCCCGTCGACCTTCCGGGTGCTGTGCTCCATGTTCATGGCGTCGATGAAGGATATGGGGTATATGTTCAAGTGGTTCCACGATGAGGGGTACAAGGCGGATATCCCCGAATTGCGGCGGATGCACTCGGAGCTGAAGGATTTTGGAACGTGGTTGGAGACGGAGAGTGAGTTTGAGATCAAAAAGTGAGGGGACACCGGGAGGTTGTTTCTGGGGATTCTATTTAAAGACGAATGTAAACTAGCAAATTGTTGGTTACTCTTAAGTTGTAATAATTTTATGCTACGGTTAATGCGCATACGACTCTGGTTGTGCAGGGAATTATGAAAGACGGATGCAGGATGACTCAGCGGAAGCAGCCGTCTGTCTCCTCGCGCCGATCATCGTGGCGAAGATAACTTCATCTTCATCCCTATCCCAAACACTACCGCTCGTTTCTCCTTTCAACTTGCAATAATCCTCTGATTTATCCGACATTATCTCCTGACATAACCCTGTTTTGTGGCCTCTTGTTTACATAAACGTCTACCACGCCCCGCGTAAGGATGCCGCCCGGGTCCGACCGGAAGACCGGCGGATCCAAACGGAGCTGCATTCGGTGCAACCAGCGAAAGGTGGGCTGCGACAAGAAGAGCCCCTGCGGCCGATGCGCCAAGGCTGGCCTCGAATGCATCCATCCGGGAGAGAAACGAGCCCCTCGGAAGCTGAGACGCCCGCCCGTCGCCGAGATTTTGGCTTATCTCAAGGAATTAGAGGCCGAAGTCGAGAGGCTGCGCTCCGGGGCGAGACCAGACGACCAGTTGGATCAAACATCCCAGCCTGCTACTGAGACCGGCTCGCGGAGCGATGGTGAGGGACTGGCTACGACTTCTCGCGGTCGGCTGGTCGTTCAGGGCGGACGGACCCGGTATGTTGGGGATGAGGCCTCGGTCATTCTCGGGGATAAGGTAGGCTTCTCTCGTTGAGATAATAGTACGCAGGCTCACCAATAATTCACAGATCCGAGAATTGCAGGAAGTATGCGATGAATCCTCAGAGGAGGATATTGACCCTCGACTGCGCCCTAGCAAAATTGGTCCAGCGCCAGTACCGTCCATAGGAATTCTGGGATCCGATCACGCAGCAGCAGGCCATAGTCCGCGCGCTTCGATGACGCCTCTGGCAGTATCCCAGCTACAGGCACTGTGGGAGATCTACCGTGTGAATGTAGCGCCTATGATTGCCCTCCTGCACCTACGCTCGGTGGAATCCATGATCCTGCAGGCGGCACAGGATAACGACAATCTAGAGCCTGAACAAGGAGCGCTCATCTCGGCGGTGTGCTTCGCAGCCGTGGTGAGCATGACACCACGCCAATGCATCTCACTATTTGATGAGCCGCATGATACGTGTATCGAGAACTACAAACTTGCCACGGAGCACGCCATAGCAAGGGCGAACCTGATCAGTACCCAGGACATCCGCGTCTTGCAGGCCGCCACTTTGTTTCTTCTCTGTCTCCGCCGATGCGGTGACTCGAGGCTTGTTTGGGCGGAAAGTGCCATAGTCGTACGGGTCGCACAGCGGCAGGGGCTGCATCGTGATGGTCAACGTCTGGGCCTGAGTCCTTTTGAGATTGAGATGCGTCGCCGACTATGGTGGCATATTTGCATTCTCGACATGCTCTGCTCCGAGGACCAGGGTACAGATACGCAGATCCGATCAGAGATGTTTGACACGCAAATCCCATCTAATATTGACATCGAGGTGATGGCGCCGGAGTTAGCCACCATGCCACTCCCAAGCTTGGGCTTCAGCGATATCACGCTCTGCATTGTGCACTGCGAAATGATGACCTACCTCTACTGGCCCAGCAAGTCTTTCGACGAGAGGGTCGGTGCGATGTCCTCGGAGCAGAGAAAAACTAGATTGCACGACTTAGAGGCCTACCTGGAGACCAAGTACCTACAGCGACTGGATCTGGACAGCCCGATTCAGTGGATCACGGCGGTCATCGCCCGGCTGACGCTGTCGAAAGCATGGCTGGTGACGCGCCTCACTGCTGCACCCGCAGAGCCCACCACCACCACCACCAACGATGAGATCTTCCGCATGGCGGTCGAGACGGTCAAATTCGCCAACCTGCTCCACCGGGACGTGCGCATCTCGCAGTGGGCGTGGCTCAGCAAAAGCTACAAGCACCGACACGTCGTGGCATACCTTCTTTCCGAGCTGTGCAATCGTCCCATCTCGCCCGACACAGATCATGCCTGGGAAGCTGTCACCCAGATTTACGATCAGTGGCAGCACGACGACGTCGAGACGAACGATATGCTGCAGAAACCACTAGCGCGGTTGATGGAGCGCGCGGCCCATCTGCGGAGAAAGAAAACACGCCAATCCACGAGGTATCTCCCCATCAACGCTGAAAGCAACCCGCTACAGGCAAAACCTGGTCAGTGGATACCAAGCTCAGGGGCGTCGGACGGACACGACACCGGCCTCAGCACAAACGGGATGGGCCTGACCCCTTCGCCGGAATCCGCCACGGACGTTGCACAAAGTCTGGGTGAATTTTTCGGTGGCTCTACGTCTGCCATTGACTGGCTCACCGGATCATTGCTCTGATGAATACTAACGAGGGATGATTCATCATCTCCCGAGTGGCGACTGAATGAGACAAATCTGGATGGCACCCGCCCGCCAAGCTTGAGCTCGGGGTTGAGACTCAACCCGAGAATTAGTAAACGCCATGGTTGCAAAACCTATAAGAGGGCCGACTGTTTCTCAACTTACGATGATAACCATTTTTCATCTACCACCTATCTACTATTCCACATCTTGAAAACCCGTCCCTCAACTTCAAAATGGCCATTACCGTTGGTGTTGCCGGTATCACCGGAAAGTTCGCTCGCCGGGTGGTCAGCCACCTGCTGCAGCACTCCGACATCACCATCCGCGGCTATTGCCGTGACCCCAGCAAGGTCCCCACGTCCATCTCCTCATCCGAAAAGGTTGCCCTTCTAAAAGGGGATGCCTT